GAATTGATTAATTTTATGGAACAAACATTACCTTTCAAACATCCGTAGTCTGTAAACTGCATACGTGCCTGGCTGTGATTGGCTGGACTTGTAGAAAATGGATTCATAAAAACCGGAACGTATCTACTGTGTTATAGGGGGGTCGACTGTACTCAGAGATAGCCTTACCATTTTTACTTACAATTTTAAAATTTCTTGTGTCAAAATTTGTAAGAAGAGAGTAAAAAAAGCTCAACTGTCTCGTTGACAGTCTTCAAGATTGATGGCCCCAGGTCTTGCTGTTAAGCTTTGGAAATAATAGTTCTTGGAGAAAAGATGCCTTGGATGAGAAAAAATTCTGGGAGAATGAACATGGCTGGGAGATAGAATAACGATGAGAGAACAAGCAGTGGATTTGCAAGGAAGAACAAATTTATGGAGCAAAGAATCTCATGTCCTTAAAACACACATTTTTATAGGTTTTCTCTCCTCTATTCCACATTCTGATTGGTCTTCCTTCATCTCCTGGTGATAATTCAAAACTTCTTGGGGTGCGAGAGAGGTCTTTTTTTGACACTTAACCCAATTCCCGATAATCTAAAATTCCTTCAAACTTTGATAGTCTCCCTGTAATTCTATTGTTTTGTTTTCCATTTTGATGGAAAGAACTTGCTTTGTCTTAATTTTGAAAGGAGAGAGCTTAACTGTCCCACTGGATTTTCATCATTCACAACATATAATTTTGATTTCTATCTGGGACCTCACATTTGTACCCAACTTGTAACAAAGTTTAATGTTTACTTTTTGCTCTGTCATTAAAAACAATGACAATAATTTGCAAAATATAACATTTCTAATGCAACTGCATGTGAATAATAAATAATATGTAAATGAGTTTGTAAAGAGAAGCAATTAGATTTGTAATGTTTCCATTTGGCATTTTCTCTGACACCAGTGTGAGAATGTGTCTAATTAACCCCAGTGGAGTTTTATATGGCTTTTTAGCCTTCTTATTACTGAATGTAGGTGATTACACTTGGACATTTCTGACACCAAGTAGGTTATGCTTACTATTAGAGTTTTTGAGTGTTTTTGTAGATGACAATAATCCAGTCTCATATAAGAATCTATGTTTGTTTGGTGCAATTTTGGAAAAAAATATATAACATTATGGATGCCATAGGAAATATTGACTTTGATTGGCAAGAATTAACTGATTAATACACGAACGAAGTGTGGAAGAAGTTATGGCTGAAGGTATTCAAGAATTCTCAATGAGAAGAGCTTATTGCTGTATTGTTAGGTTGACCAAACTCAACCTAATCAATATAGCAGGACTAGGAGATATAGACGAACAGGATATTGAGGAGTTGCAGCAGGTTTCTGGTGAGAGACTTACCGACGACGACCTTCATGAACTGGCAGAACATGGAATTCATGTTTAACTGGAAAATAGTGATTCTGAAAATGATGAACCCAAAGAATTTCTTTACAGATTTCCTTAGTAAAAGTTTGATAAGATAACCGAAATCATTGATCAAATTGTAGTGAATGATCCAGATTTTGAAAGGAGTGCAAAAGCAAAACGAGCATTTTGGATGTGATCTTCTGCTACTAACATTTGCTTAAGGAAAGAAAAAAGTGACAAATGAAACTTCATGACTTTATTGCAAAAGAACAAGAATTTCAGAAGAGCCAGGACCTTCATCACAAATAATGAACTTTACACCTCTGTGTGCATGTGTTTATGTGCTATTCAACATATATTATTATACAAATTAATATAAAAATAACTTAAAATTGAAGTAAAATTTGTTTATTTTTGGTTGCGTGTTCTTTTTTCCCTATTTATTCTATGATATAATGATCTCTTTAACGCTGTTTCGTTTAGCGCTTTGTTGTCTAGGAACGCATCTCCCGCGTTAAGCGGGGTCTTACTTTATTTGTTAACATCTGGCTGACCCATTTTGGGCCTGACCAGTGGCGCGTTATCCTGTAGCAAAAAAGGGCAATTACCTGGAGTCCCATCAACGGAGGGCCCCAAACCGATATAAGAAAATTAACCTCCCCCCGAAGAAAAATGTTAGAAGTCAATACTATACCGTATGTGGAGCCTCCTAATTCAAATCTGCCTCCATGAATCTATAACGTGCCATTGGGCCAGGTCCAGTCTACCATAAATAGGTTTCGAAGACCCTCAGTCACACGAGATGTCGGTCGGCTGGACAAACGCTTTATGTAATGGCCGAATGCGGATGAGTCGGAAAATCCCAGGAATTTTTAGGAGTGGACGACCGGATACAGAGCCGGCCCTACCATAGGGCGAACGGAGCAGCCGCTCCAGGCGCGAAGTCCTAAGGGCGCCTCAGTGGTAAAGAAAATTAAAGGGTATAAATTAGGGGCAACCAAGGGGCCGCCACAATAGGATCTCGCTCCATCCTAAAACTTGCCTCGGGCCGGCACTGACCAGATACGTCGGGCCCCGTCCCTCGCCACCAATCCCCTATTGTGGGCCTGGCGGAGCCCATAATGGGTTTGCTGAAAAGGAAAGCTCTATTTAGTGACCACAAAGTGGAGTTTTAAAAAAGTACTCACAGAATAAAAGGAGGGGGAAATTTTTCGATTATGAAAACTCTGAAGATAACTGAAAATGATAAATGTGTATTATTTATGAGTAATGTTTAATATGAAATTCGTTAGCTTGATATATTATTATTACACAATATATTTTTTTTTATATTTTATTTGACTATCCGCCATTAATAAAGAGTACCATTGCATAATATAAACAGTTGCATAATATATGACAAGATTCTTGGTAAAAATTACATTATTTTACACTAGATCCAAACGTAATTCAACAAATTTGCATAATGAAAAATGTCAAATGAATACTTGTAACAATTGCTGTAAGAAGAGTTTATGCAAATCAATCTGTGTTATTCCAAATATAATTACTGTATCATTATTTTTTTGTTTTTTTTTTGCATATTGTTTATATATAATATTTCAAGTTTAGTTTTTAAATAAAATTTTTAAGAAATTTTTTAAAATATTTAAGCTACTTATTATTTCTTAATTTATTAATAGCAACTTTTAACACTCCGCTGTTTATCAAACAACATTCAAATGTTGTTTTCTCTTTTAGGAATTATTAAAATTTTATTACGATTTTCTGATTTGTAGAAATCGAAAAAAATCTGAAATTTCTATGTCAGAACGTAGCCTATATCAGACAATTTAGCCGTCAGACAAATATAAAGTAGGGTAATAGCTTTGTCCTCTTAAAAAAAATAGCCTGTCCTTCAGATTATCAACTATTGTTGAGCATAAAATGCGAAATTAGTTATTGCGTGAACAAAACGATCGCGTAACTTTCCCGGCAAAAAACATAAGTATTTTTGCCGGGAAAGAAACACTAAACGAGATGTTATTTTAAAAAATAAGTTATATATATTAATTACTATAAAAAGGCAAGAAAGGCTAATTTTGATGATAGCAACAAGTTTCTAAAAATAATTGTAAATGCGAACGAGTAATATTTTCATTAAGTCGACCCCGCTCGAGATATGACAACTGACTCATCTCTATTTCCCCATCCCCTAAATTAAATACCAAAATTAAACAGCATCCATCGATGCCCCTTGTTTACAATTTATCATGCTAAATTTTGTTTCTTAATCTTTAATCCATCTTGAGATATTAAACGAAATAGATGCTAACGCGCGCGCGCGCGGTATCAGTTTTTACTTTTTTGGTTCCGGGATCTCATTGAAGTTCCTAAAAACCAGGAAGGTTAATTGTCACGTGATTACTATACTTTTTCGTATTATGTTATAACAGCCGGGAAAGTAAAATTAATATTTGAAATCTTTAAACGCCTAAATAGACCTCCCGGAAGGCATCGCTCACGTGTTTGTTGCCGAAACTAACAATAAAAAAATATTGTAATTAACGTACTCCTATTCAATGCTATCCAGAGAAATATTTAGCGGCCCAGTTGGTATGATGACATTTCAGAACTCGCGAAAGACATTTCCGTAAAAGAATTAGTATCAAAACTTACCGTTAGGGCACTTTTGCCGCTTTGAAATTTAATTCGTGTGATTTTTCTCGCGGGGGACACTCAAGTGTGGTTTATCGAGGATTCGTTGCAAATTTTGCAGCGTCACACTGCAAGCGAAAGCACCACAGAGAACCGATTATGGTCAGTTATTAAAGCACTGCTCATTGCCTTCAGATTTTACATCACCGGAATGGGGACTATATTGAAGGGTCTCCTGCATCACTAGTCTTTGTATGTACTATACAAAGACTTTAGTAATGTAGGAATGTCTTGTACCGATAAAATGCCAAAAGTACCACTAGTGGCGAGTTTTGGTAGTAATTTTTTTTTTTTTTTTACAGAAAAGTCATCCGCGTGTCCCGAAATGTCACCATATCACACTTGGTTGTATTTTGAACTGCTAAATCTCTCTCTAGACAGCGTAGATTACGGGGTACTTCAATTACGATTAGTCGGTATATATTTTCATTTAATTGAAATGTATCGGCTCTAATAAGTAAATAACTGAAGAAGAGTTTCAAAAATAAATAAGCATTTTGTTTATTTTATATCCTAATTTAATTTCTGTTATTTTTTAAATGAGAACGAATCGAGTCGAAACCAATTTTTTTCTTTAGCCAATTATTATCTCCATGTTCAATTTAAGATCTATATTAAAATATGTTTAACTTTACTCGGAAAGGAAATTATTAAATATATTTTCCTTTTCACTATCTTTTTTTTAATTACAAATTATTAAATTATGTACCGTACACTTAAAACAATTACAATGAATTTCTAGCGTCGCTTTCTTCGTTTTATATGTCATTTCGAGATTATAATTAAGTCAATTAAAACTGCTTAATTAATAATAATAAAAATTGAAAAGTAAATAAATTATTTTTTTAATGTTATAAATTAGATTAACCTTTAAATTAAATTATTACTATTATTTTGTTTAAATTATACGGATGTGTGTGTATTTTACGCATGCGCGAAATCGAATCGGGTGATCATCCGACAGATCTAGCTTGTTCGAGTCGCCGGTGGAAGGTCGTCTTCGGAGGTTGTAAGTCGATTTGTTTTCTTATTCTTAAATTAATACGATTGTAAATAATAATTTGTAAGATGTAATTAACGTATACAAATGCCACTCGTGTATATTATCATATGGATATTTATTTATAAAAACACATGGAATTATTACAGTTTAATAAGAAGAATGTGTTAATCTAAGCTTATTTGATAAGCTTAAGCACACTCTTATGTTCCTTCAGATAAAATTTGCTTAGTTAAGTATTTGCCTGCCACACCCATTTAACACGAGGATAAGAATGAAGACATTCTTCAAAGGTTTATTTGGTTTAAATTTAATTAATAGACTGGGATGTAGGGTGGAAGTTACTTTTAGTCAGATAGATAGTATACATATATAAATAAGTGACCCGAAAGTAACTTCTACCCAGAATTTTGTTCAAAGTTTGACACAGTTTGTGCGATTTCTTCCCACTGTGACCTGCGAATTGTTTTAACCTATTTAAGCATTGCAAAATTATTGAAATTTGGCACGATGCGTACGAATGTATGTAATTAGGCAAGAAATAAAAAATTAACTGTCAAAGAGGTAACGGGTATCGTAATTAATTTCTTATCTATTGTTCATTTTCAGAAATGCAATGACGTCGCTAACGGAGAGTATGCTAGAGGAAAAATTTGAAGCCCGGAACTATGTGGATATATTGGAAGACAGACGGAGAGATGGCGATCTGTTCTGGGTGACCAGGAAGTGGGAGTGTCCCAAGTATAGATTTGCAGAGACGAAGACTCCGAAACAGATAGCCGAAAACGTTTTAAAAGATTCTAGGGTTCAGATGATGATTTCTCGGTTGAGCGTAGAGAGGGGCGTAAACAGAGATGATGTAATAAAAGAAGCCGATGCGATAATTGAAGAAATGAATCATAACTATCAGTTGAAGGCCATAAGGTTTTTCGGTTACATTTTGGCAAAAGCGGCAAAAAGATTATACGAGCACATTTACGTAAACAGAGACGGCATAGATAATGTGAGAAAGGTCGCCGATAAATATCCCATTTTGTTTATGCCGACGCATCGGAGTTATGCCGATTTTCTTCTCGTTTCTTACATATGTTTCCATTTCAATATACCCGTTCCGGTAATTGCTGCCGGATTAGATTTTTTAGGTCTTAAGGCCGTTTCGATGTTGCTGAGAAATTCGGGAGCATTCTTCATTAGACGGCAGTTCAGCGACGATAAATTATATTGGACCATATTTACGGTTTATGTTCAGATGCATGTTCTCGGAGGTGATGCTCCCATTGAATTTTTTGTCGAAGGAACTAGAAGCCGGACTGCTAAGTCTCTGCTTCCAAAATTAGGTTTGTTACAAGTGGCTTTAGAATTGTATTTTACTGCACGTGTTCCCGATATTACAGTCATTCCGATTAGTATCAGCTATGACCGAACGCTTGAAGAAATTCTATATTCATATGAATTACTAGGTGTTCCTAAACCTAAAGAATCTACCAAAGGACTCTTTAAAGCACGTAAAATTTTGCAACAAAATTTTGGTAATGTGTACGTACAATTTGGTAATCCAATTTCGGTCAGAGATTTTTGTAATGGGAAAATTGATAGGAGCATTCATAATCTTCAGCCTCGCTTTTTATCATCTCTTAATGAGGAAGAACAATTATTATGTCTTAATTTTGCAAATCATATAATAAAGAGACAACAGCATAATTTATTGTTGTCGCCTTTTCCATTGATTTGTCTTGTCGTCGGATACATAGATAATAATCAAAAAGTGTATTTAAATGATTTATTTTCAAATGTTGGCTGGTTAACAAAATTGTTAAATAAAACTGGAATAAGCATTGTCTATGAAAACACTTCATTAAATGAATCTATTATTTATCATATAAATCTTCATTCCAATCTTCTGAAATTATCAGATGGTTATGTAGAAGTAATAAGTCAAGTGAATGATTCTCGAAATGACTACGAAACTTTGAGAATTTCAGTTGATATGATGAAACTTGCAATTCCACAAATGATGATATATCATTATAGCAATCAAGTGCTGCAACTGCTAGTTCATTTTTCCATGATTTCACTCACTTTAAATAATAATGTGTCTTTGGCTTTAGATGTAGTTTTTAATAAATATAAGATCCTTATGAAATTACTTAGCAAAGAATTTGTTTTTGAACAAAATATTGTTGATGAATTTAAGATGCATCTACAGATAATGCAGGAGGAGGAAATTTTACTTGTAGAGGATTCAAAAATTTCAGTAGTAAATCAAAATAAAATAAAGGCTTTAGCAAGTCTTTTGGTTCCATTGTTGCAGACATTTGCAATTTTATGTGAGCAATTTTTAAATGGTAGGGTTAAAGGTGGCACAAATAAAGATATTATACACCAAGTTCAAAGAGCTATCGAAATTTTACTACAAAAAAAAGAAATTAATGATTATAAATCGTTGTCTGTAAATACTATTACAAACTGTATTACTTGTCTAGCTCATTCAAATGCCATTCAAAAAGAAAAAAAGGATGGAAAAATTACATTCAAGCCAATTTTATCAGAAGTAGCAACAATTTTATATGATATTGAATCATTTTTACCAGATCAAATGTCAAAAACTATATATAGAAATGGAAGTATTCAGTCAAAATTATAATTTCAGTATAATTTTCATAATTCATCCATGTGTTTGTGTTGTAAATGTACAAAATAAATAGGAATTTATATAAACTGCATACGTATCTAAAAAATATTGTAAATAATGTATAGATTAAAACAGATAATATATTTAAAATGCAAATTAGTTTTATTGAATACATTTATAATTTAAAAAAATTTTGGCTTGAATAAATTTTTTAAAATTATTCATGTATTAAAATGAATATTTATGTAATATTTTGAAATTACAGTATTCATGTATTAAAAATAAATATTTATTTCATTTGAAGTATGTAATTTTTGTTACTTTTTAATTCTAATACTCTTACAATGTTAAAATTAAAAAAAATAATACAAAATCTTAATAACTAAGCCATAATAAATTTGAGAACATATCTATAGATTAGTTTTAGATCTTTGTAAATTAGAAATTTAAAAATTTATCAACTAGTAAATGCATTTACACTAAATGAAAATACAATTAAAAGTTGGTGCACAATGGCTGCTAATATAATGCAGTGTTAATTCCTTTGCAATATTGTGACTAGCTTTATAGGTGTGTAGTTATAGATCCTAGCTTATAAGTTCATTATTTTGTTATTTCAATGTCATCTTTTGTTAATTTTGGTATTAAAAGAAGTGTTGGATGGATGACATTAACATTAGAACAGTTTAGGGGACAGGATGACTTGTACCACTTGGTCATCAGAGGGAACAAACTCTACTGTCAGTTTCCAATGGAACTAACAATGTAGTGGTGATAACAAGGAATGTGTGTGCATATGCTAATTATGCTACAGATTGTAAATAAACATATCCAGTCCAGAACTACATATCACTTTATTCACTTTGCATATAATTTATAGCATGCTATAAGCAGTGTGCAGGGCTTTGTTCATTCAATGCTGCATAACCATTGAGTTTGTTATATACTACAGTTATAGTGACTAGCATGCACCAACCTTAACCTTATTAAAAAAAAAGATACTTTGTTTAGTTTGAAACAATACACACAATAGTTTTAAATATGATGATAAATTTAATGTATCTACTTAATGATTTCTATAATTAACAAAAAAAATTGGGATATGATAAATCCTTCCAAACAAGTGCTGTAATGAATCTTTAGTAATCTAAATTTTTACAACAAATAATTTAAGCTTACTAATTTAGTTTATAATTCATCAATTAAATGTTGCTGATTTAAATATTTTATGATCATTTCTTGGATAATCAAGTCAGTTATGCACAGTAGACCCCCATATAACGAGGAACGTATCTTCGCGTTATAGGGGTATAACGCGAAGATACGTTCCTCGTTATATGAATTTCGCGTTGTAGGAATCCTTGGGCTGTGATTGGCTCACGTATTTGACACGTGTGAAGTTTACGGACTACGGCTGTTTGAAAGGTTTTCTTCCATAAAATTAATCGATTCTAGACTAATTTGACTTAACATTTCCAAAATACGTATATTTTTTTTGGAAATAATCCGTATAAACTACGCTATAAACAAAAAATTGTAGGATTACTTACCAAGTGTGCACCATTCGACATCGCCGTTGCTCAAGCTTGTTTTCATCGTGGAACAGCGCAGCAAACCGCAGCCGCGATTTCAGATGTTATTTTTCTGCGAAAACTTCATTGAACTTCGGAGACATCATTAATATAAATAATTTTAATCGCCGTTGAATAAGAAATGTTTCTTTCACAAGAAATGTATAAAATTACAGTACTGTATTAGACTTACGGTACCTAATTTACATACTGTACAGACGATAGCTTGCCTAAACTCTCTGTAGCGTGGCGATAGACGGCAGAAAATAGTTCGGCTGCTCGTCCGCTATGATGAGTTGGCGATGACGTTTTACGCGTCCCTTTTAGCGTCTTTGTACGAATAATGACGCAATTTTTTCGCTGCGTTATAGGAATCTACGTTATTGGAACCCGTGTTATAGGGAGGTCTACTGTAATTGTATTGTTTCAAGATTTCAAAAATTTTATATCAAGTTTCCACCTATATTGCATACATTAACTGATTTGATCTAGCTCAGGTTACCAAACTTTTTTCACAGTGGGCCACATAACAGAATGACTGCATTTTGTTCAATACAATACACTGAATACACAAAACATAAAGACAACATATTTATCAATACACAAACACATGGGCTGCAGCAAGATCATAATGGCTTTTAGAAACTTCATTGCAGGTACTTACACAAAAAGCGCTGATATCCAAAGTTGCCAAATTTTTTATTTCACCGATTTTCCTAAAAATTATATTACTCTCAGATGTGAAAATCAGATTAGACTAATTTTGGCATTTTTATTTACACTTACTATGTAGAAAAAATTTAAATAAGTTTATCTACAAACTATGATATTTCCATATAATTGATTATATTTTAGCTCATATGTGGCGCAATGGGCCAGATCAGCGTCACGGGCCATTGTTTGATGACCCAATCTAGATATATATACTCTATGAATGTTTTACTATCAAGGCTATGTTGAAGAATTTGACATTTTTTAGCAATTTCTCAATCTGTTCTAGGGCTGTGTGACTATGTAACAAAAAATAATGTACAAGAAATAATTTCTGTAAAGTAATGAATACTCTTAACAGTGTTTATTTGTTAGGATTCTATGGAATTGAATTGTGTTAGAAAACCTTCAATTATGCATTTAGAATGGACCATGTAAAGCATTGTTTGCTTTTGAAAAATTGCAAGATTGGACTTTTGAATGAAGATTGATGGATTGAATTGGGATGAGTTTTTTCATTCCACATGCTTTATTTATTTATTGTTTTTTGGTTTAGTTGATGTAAAGTTTTACAGCCAATCTGTGTGTGTTTAAGACCATACATAATCATTAAAATAATGTGTGGTTTATTTTCCTGTACAAATAATTTGGATGAATTATGACAAAAAACTTGTTAATGTTCTTTAATCAAAAAACAATCATCATTATGAGTGACTATTGAATTGATTCTGAAAGTAACGAGAAAATAAAGAATAAATGTTAATTACTATTTACAGTTGCATAATTGATCTTAAAGTTTAAAATTTAACATTTCATTTTGTAAGATGCAAAGCCGTAAAGCAAAAGTTTTTCATATGTTAAATCAATATATACATTAGCGGAATATTTGGAATAATTTAGATTAAGAAATACTATGAATATCCTTATTAACTTTCCAATCCAGCAACTCTGAAAGTAAAGACATGTTTACCTAAAGAAGAGGAGGAGAAAAAGTCAACAGGCAGAAGGTTTGATAGTCTAGACTAGCTTATCCATTTTACAATGGGGAAAAATGCTGTAAAACTTGGACAAAACCACTCAGATGTACAAAAATAACATTAAAACTTCAGTATTTAGGGTATTAAGAAACATGCATTATTTTGTAGTTTTGAAAACCAAGAAAGCTACAACCCTTTAAACTTGTATAATTGTTAAAATGTCTTGAGTAAGGTTTTCAGGTAGTGAGTAAAATTATTACTGTGTAGTAGTTGGTAACTGAAATTTTTTTAAAATTCAGCTTCATTCACATAGTGATCAAGGCTCATAATTATAGCAATTCAGCTATGGATTTTCATGTAAAGAAATTAGTAGTTCACTTAGATTTCTTCATTTGCTAATCAACTAACCGATTTCAATTAACTTGCTGACAAGAAATAGAATTCCTGTCTCTTGTTAAGAGTCACATAGTTGATGTTAATGGTTACAGGACTTCTAAAAGTGAATTACTTCACGAAAGTTCCATATTTTGTATTCAAATTTGAAAAAAGTTTTCTAGAAATGAATTTGCTAATACCCTGAGGAACTGTATCAACACTATTAACAGAGGCAACATTACAACTTCTATAGTTATGTACAAAACATTCTTGAGAGATCTTGTCTTTATATTGTTTATACATATGCACTGAAGTGTTTTCAATATTAAAAATCACATGTCATCATCTGCTACCTTAAGAAACAGCATTACGACTGATTGAACAAGGCACAGTTGACCAGAGTTAACTCTGGACAACTGTTCCTTGTTCAAATTGTTCAAGATGAAATCAGCCAATGAGAAAGTTGCTTGACTGGTTTTTCTATACAAATTTTCCTAGTTGCCTGAGGGGTAAAAATTTTGTATTCGGGTACATAGAAGAAATTTTCAGAGCTTACTAATTTAGTTTAATTAATTATATCTCAGAGGCATGATTGTTATATGAATGTTTTCATCTATCTTTAATTTAATACATAAACATAGTTAAATAATTTTATTCCTTTAACTGGATTTGGATATACAGTAGAGCATCGATTATCCGACTCAATTGGGGACTGGGGTTGGTCGGATAATTGAAAAGTCAGATAACCGAAAAGTATGAAAAAATCCATTATTAGTGTAGTATATTATTATATCCCATGTAATTAGTATATTATTATACAGGTATTAGTATATCACTATTAACCTACTTCGCGTTGAATTTTCCTCCATGTTAAACCTATCAAATTTTTTTAAAAATAATAATTGTCACTATTGTATTGTTAAAAGTTAGAAAATTAAGCCTCATTTAAATACTGGCTCCCTTTCATGGTCGATCCAATGTTGCCAGCTAAAACATGTAAAAATAATATTAAAGTAGCCAAGACATAGCCAAATATTCTAGCACCACATCACTAGCAGACATTTGAATTTGCCGACTAGAACGCGGTCGGTTAACCGAGGTGACAGTTAATCGGAGGTCGGATAATCGATGCTCTACTGTATTTATGTTTGTTTGTTTGTGTGTGTGTGTGTGTGTGTGTGTGTGTGTGTGTGTGTGTGTGTGTGTGTTCATTCCTTTTTTCTAATGTCCAGTTTTGATTTTTCACAAAAGCTGAAGTTTACTAAAAACTTGTTTTGTTACCAGCACTAGTGTAAAATTTATCTGGTACAGTTTAAAGTTTAAAAGATGCTAAAACCTGTTCAAAATGGAACCTTACAGAATACAAAAAGTAATTTGATACAGTGTAATCAAATAATAAGTCTGTTTACACAGGTTTTATTGTATTAATTTTTTGATTTCTATTTCAAATGCCCGATGACTTAAAAGTCAATCA